CACGTTAGACTCGTTGGAAATTATGTCAAAAAGCTGAGGACTACCTTCGGTGTCGCCTTTATTTCAACTATGAATGCGCCCCACCATATTCTCAACAGCTTGTAATGAAATTCTAATTCTCTTTTCATATTGGATCAATCTTAATTCTGAAAATATGAGCTCTGCAACTGCAGAGCTATTTATGAGGCATTTCATTCAAATTAAATAAAGTGAGCTCTTTATACATAGTTCATTTAAAGCATTTTTCTTTAAGCTTATTTTTCGTCTTCTTTATTGGCGCTGTAACCGGCTAAGCAATTTTAGCCGAGTCCTGTGCTATCTGGCACCAGTTGGAAATACCAAGTGAAGCCAAGACCTTCTCCATCTGGTATTTCCAACGCAGAGGAGGCCTTCCTCTTCCTCTGTTACCAGCATCGCGGCCTACGTTGCATATTTTCAGAGCAGGAATGTTTTTGTCCAACCGAACGACATGGCCAAGCCAGTGCACTATGTCTATATCGTTGTAAAGCTCATACAGCTCATCGTTGAATCGTCTGCGATATTTGCCATCACCAACGCGTAAAGGTCCGTAAATCTTTCGAAGAATCTTTCTCTCGAAAACTCCAAGAGCCGCCTCATCAGATGCTTTCATTGTCCATGCCTCCGCGCCATACACCAGCACAGGCATGACTTTTAGAGTTATTTTTTTTTTTTTTTTTTTGTACGACGAGAGAGGACTTTACTTCTCAATTGCCTACTCAGCCCAAAGTAGCACTTGTTGGCAAGAGTGATTCTCCGTTGGATTTCATGGCTGACATTATTATTGGTGTTAATGCTGGTTCCCAAATAAACGACGTCGTCTACCTTTTCAAACTTGTAACTGTCTACAGTGACGTAGGTGCCAAGACGCGTATGCTCCGACTGTTTGTGTGATGACAGGAGATACTTCGTTTTATCCTCGTTCACCACAAGACCCATTCGCTTTGCTTCTCTATCTAATCCCGAGAAGGCAGAACAGACGTAGCCCTTGTTTTTATCGATATTATCGATGTCGTCGACATACGTCACTGAGCGAAAAAAATAAAGTATATTCAAAAAATTTGCACAAACACGTATAATTTTTGAAGTATATGGTGTAACTAACACATATTTATTTTCACAAACCCATCCAAACCGACTAACGAGTCAGACGCACGGTGTATACCGCCTATAAATTTTTATATTTTTCAGTTAGCGTGCAAACAATCATATTCGAATAACAAATAATAAAATTGCGTTTAAATTTTAAACAAATGCTTTATTCGATTTAATATGTTAATGCCTTTTTACCATACATTTTTGGAACTGCTTTTTAAAATGTTTAGTTGGAATTTCATAAAATATAAGCGCGTTTTAGCTAACAATCTAAGCCGAAAGCAGGATGAAAATGGCGTAAGTACCTCGGCGGCTGTGGTTGCAAGCCCAGAGTACCCCAAATTTCCTATTAAGTTTTATCAAAAATTTTACCAACAGACTCTTCTGTTTAACACTTCAGTCTTTATCGCACAAGTTACTGACATTCCTATCGAAATAGATCTTAATTGTTGTATCGCTTTCGTATCGTAAAGACGTGACGTCTTGGTGGAACAGTTCTTCCCGAGAACGGGTAAGAATTCGAAAAAATAGCGATATCAACAGCGATGATTTTCGAAGAAATGTCGTGTCGAATTAGTAACTTCCGCAATATAAAATGCTCGCAAGGAATGAATTCTTATTACACTAGAATTGAATGAGCTAAAAACTGCCCACTCAAAATCTTTCTAAGAAATAGAATTAAGTTTGTAAAATTTTTTGCAAATACCTATTGCACAAAGTTCTAAATTTGGGTTTACACTGTTTTTGTTAAAGAATGAACTAAAGATGGGCGCAGGACATCGAGACCCGCGGGACCCTGTCTGTATAAATTTTTGCAGGCGGGACGGGACCAATTATATGGGATATTGCTATGCCCTACTTATAAATAAGAGTCTCCAAACAGCATCAGTACCGGAAGAATGGAAAATTTCATCAATAGTGCCCGTCAAGAAAGTTAGAAAAACTGGTAAAGCTGGGGAGCTTAGGCCCATCAATACTCTCCCTAGCTTGGAAAAAATGCTAGAAACCGTTGTGAAAAACCAGCTACAGTACTATGTGGAATCCAATAAAATACTCATAAAAGAACAATCTTGATTCAGAGCTAAACATTCCTGTGAGACTGCGCTGAATCTGGTGCTTTCTCAATGGAAAGAAGATCTTAACAGACACCTTAATGTAGTGGCAGTGTTTATTGATCTTAAAAGAGCATTTGAAACCGTTGATAGGGTCCGAATGTTGGATAAACTAAAATAGATTCATCCTCAACAAACTATACGACACACCAACAAGATGTATGCTTGAAACCTTGAGTTGGTTAAGCGTGAAGCAACAAGTTTTTTACCACGCTATGAAATTTGTGTACAATATTAAGAAGGGCAACCTGCAACCTGAAGCAAAATGACGTTCCTACTTATGTATTTAAAAAGGCTGACTATGCAGCGTTGAATAGCTTCTTCCTGGGCGTAAACTGGATTGACTTATATAAGCTGGAAAATATCGATGACAAAGTGAGCTGGTTTTATG